GGTACATTTTGATATAGTTCTGACATCCCCTTTGCAGTATTAGAACATTATATAGTTGTCTGATGTTCGTACATTTTGATATAGTTCTGACATCCCCTTTGCAGTATTAAAACATTATATAGTTGTCTGATATTGGTACATTTTGATATAGTTCTGACATCCCCTTTACAATATTAGAACATTATATAGTTGTCTGATGTTGATACATTTTGATATAGTTCTGACATCCCATTTGCAGTATTAAAACATAGATGAGACAACAGTTCAACAATTATGTTCAATGTTCCAGTTGTTCTTGAGACAGCACTTAAGCTGAATAACGTTTGACAGTTGTTATTATAGCCACTCCATTTTGTGTTATCTGATATTGGTACATTTTGATATAGTTCTGACATCCCCTTTGCAGTATAAGAACATTATATAGTTGTGTGATGTTCATACATTTTGATATAGTTCTGACATCCCCTTTGCAGTATTAGAACATTATATAGTTGTGTGATGTTCGTACATTTTGATATAGTTCTGACGTCCCCTTTGTAGTATTAAAACATAGATGAGACAACAGTTCAACAATTATGTTCAATGTTCCAGTTGTTCTTGGGACAGCACTTAAGCTGAATAACGTTTCAAAGTTGTTATTGTAGCCACTCCATTTTGTTTTGTCTAATGTTGATACATTTTGATATAGTTCTGACATCCCCTTTGCAGTATTAAAACATAGATGAGACAACAGTTCAACAATTATGTTCAATGTTCCAGTTGTTCTTGGGACAGCACTTAAGCTGAATAACGTTTCAAAGTTGTTATTGTAGCCACTCCATTTTGTTTTGTCTAATGTTGGTACATTTTGATATAGTTCTGACATCCCATTTGCAGTATTAGAACATTATATAGTTCTAAGAAACAACAGTTCAACAATTATTTTCAATGTTCCAGTTGTTCTTGAGACAGCACTTAAGCTGAATAACGTTTGACAGTTGTTATTGTAGCCACTCCATTTTGTGTTATCTGATATTGGTACATTTTGATATAGTTCTGACATCCCCTTTGCAGTATTAGAACATTATATATTTGTCTGATGTTCATACATTTTGATATAGTTCTGACATCCCCTTTGCAGTATTAAAACATAGATGAGACAACAGTTCAACAATTATGTTCAATGTTCCAGTTGTTCTTGGGACAGCACTTAAGCTGAATGACGTTTCAA